ATAGTGTCGTATTTTTCTCAATTCAATAAAATCATTGGAAAAAGAAATCTATATGGATGTACCTCTTCTATCTTGCAATTAATGCAGGCAATTTATATTATGCATAGAAATCTGCAGTTTAGTGATCGTAGTCAGCCTTATAATTATATTTTCTCAACGAGCAGAGTAACAATAAAACGCTATCGTAAACGATTAGAAGCTCTTAGTTTTCTTAGCAAAATTCATAGCTGGGTTTGCGAAAAATCAGACACTTTCGCGGCCGTGTAGAAAGTTTGCCCAGCCCGGCAGATTCCAAAGGATTTTTGCAAACGGAACGCCGGGAATCGCAGAATTCCTGATGAATATTCAAGAATCCCGCGCTTCAGCGTAATCATGTCAAAAGAACGACAGTGGTCAAAAGCGCAAAGGAAGAACAGAGATCGACGCGCAGCAAAGGGACCACAAAATCCGTGCTGGCATTCGTGCCAGGACGTTCGCGAAAACTTTGTTACATTTTTGGTGCTGGTCCACGATACATGCCGGCCGAATAACTGGATCAAAGGGACGCGGTTGAACGCGGCAAGAGGCTGAAAAAGAAGCGGACGCTCCCGCGGATAGAGAAGGACCATACCTCGAGAACTTCCCGTGTCCTTCTCCCCTCTTTGCTCGCTCCCTCTCCTATCCTGTTTTTCTTCGTCGTTTCTGTCGTTCTTTTCGCGCACCGACCCCTAGCAAAAGCTGTCGAAAGTCCTTTACTTTGCCCAGACACAATGGACGCGGCGATCGGACCGTGGAAAGAATGGCGGACGCCACGGCAAAGTGGACGTTTGCAACGCAACTCGCTTATCGGGCGAATCAAAGAACTCTCATACTTATGGGAGATTAGATTTCTGGCTGCTTTTGACAAGATTTAATTTTGCGCGGAGGTAGGTGATTTTTAACATCGAGGATGTCCTTCCTTTGCGCTAGGAGAATGTTCCAATAATTATTGCACTTTAATAGAATTTTTGGGATTGGTTGTACTTCACTCATTTTAATCTTTGATTTACAAAATCGTTTTCTATTCGTAGCTACGTATTTTAAATAGGAGAACAATTAATTATTTGATAATATATAATATATAATTTGATAATATGACCTTGACACTTTCTAGAAGCAATAGAAAATTGCAGTAGATCGTTGATAATAAAAGTTAAGACGAAAATCGTTCATTTCAACCTGATGAAAAAGGAAATTTGGAAAGTAACAATTGTGATTTAACTTTGAATTATAAATTACCTTATCACGGTTCACGGAAAACGGGAGAACTTCGAATTTGAAAATTCTGTTTCGTATTGCAGTTATAAAAGATTTTAAATGAACGACGACCAATAGAATGTTTTTAACCGATAAATTTACATGAGAGATTACTTTATCGTAGTGTGAAAACTCCGAAATTTCAAGCACAATTATACATTTCGCCGAGAAGTTACCATAATGAGAAGACATAAACTTGAAACTGTAAATAAAATACTGATTGCAAGTTCTTAATTAATTGAAGCGCCAGTAAAATATCTGCAACAGTGTGCCTTCTCTATGAAGAGAAGGTACACATCTCTCAATTTAGTAGAAAAATTGGTAAAAGCAAAATGGAGAATCGATGTCTGGCTTTAACTTTAATTTGTCCCGCTACAAAGTGCTGAATCCCGCAGCAGATCAACTGGTACCATGCGTACCATGAGTGCTGTATTACAAGAAGAACAACGGCGAGTCACAGTTGCTCCGGCAATAAGAAACAACGCAACTCGACGGAATAATTAAAACCGGTGAAACGAATGTTTTACCTTGCGACGTGTATGGCTGCCGTGCGTGTGCTTCTAGCGGTGAAAACATACTGCACTTTTGAGAGAGAGAGAGAGAGAGAGAGAGAGAGAGAGAGAGAGAGAGAGAGAGAGGGAGANGCGTAATCATGTCAAAAGAACGACAGTGGTCAAAAGCGCAAAGGAAGAACAGAGATCGACGCGCAGCAAAGGGACCACAAAATCCGTGCTGGCATTCGTGCCAGGACGTTCGCGAAAACTTTGTTACATTTTTGGTGCTGGTCCACGATACATGCCGGCCGAATAACTGGATCAAAGGGACGCGGTTGAACGCGGCAAGAGGCTGAAAAAGAAGCGGACGCTCCCGCGGATAGAGAAGGACCATACCTCGAGAACTTCCCGTGTCCTTCTCCCCTCTTTGCTCGCTCCCTCTCCTATCCTGTTTTTCTTCGTCGTTTCTGTCGTTCTTTTCGCGCACCGACCCCTAGCAAAAGCTGTCGAAAGTCCTTTACTTTGCCCAGACACAATGGACGCGGCGATCGGACCGTGGAAAGAATGGCGGACGCCACGGCAAAGTGGACGTTTGCAACGCAACTCGCTTATCGGGCGAATCAAAGAACTCTCATACTTATGGGAGATTAGATTTCTGGCTGCTTTTGACAAGATTTAATTTTGCGCGGAGGTAGGTGATTTTTAACATCGAGGATGTCCTTCCTTTGCGCTAGGAGAATGTTCCAATAATTATTGCACTTTAATAGAATTTTTGGGATTGGTTGTACTTCACTCATTTTAATCTTTGATTTACAAAATCGTTTTCTATTCGTAGCTACGTATTTTAAATAGGAGAACAATTAATTATTTGATAATATATAATATATAATTTGATAATATGACCTTGACACTTTCTAGAAGCAATAGAAAATTGCAGTAGATCGTTGATAATAAAAGTTAAGACGAAAATCGTTCATTTCAACCTGATGAAAAAGGAAATTTGGAAAGTAACAATTGTGATTTAACTTTGAATTATAAATTACCTTATCACGGTTCACGGAAAACGGGAGAACTTCGAATTTGAAAATTCTGTTTCGTATTGCAGTTATAAAAGATTTTAAATGAACGACGACCAATAGAATGTTTTTAACCGATAAATTTACATGAGAGATTACTTTATCGTAGTGTGAAAACTCCGAAATTTCAAGCACAATTATACATTTCGCCGAGAAGTTACCATAATGAGAAGACATAAACTTGAAACTGTAAATAAAATACTGATTGCAAGTTCTTAATTAATTGAAGCGCCAGTAAAATATCTGCAACAGTGTGCCTTCTCTATGAAGAGAAGGTACACATCTCTCAATTTAGTAGAAAAATTGGTAAAAGCAAAATGGAGAATCGATGTCTGGCTTTAACTTTAATTTGTCCCGCTACAAAGTGCTGAATCCCGCAGCAGATCAACTGGTACCATGCGTACCATGAGTGCTGTATTACAAGAAGAACAACGGCGAGTCACAGTTGCTCCGGCAATAAGAAACAACGCAACTCGACGGAATAATTAAAACCGGTGAAACGAATGTTTTACCTTGCGACGTGTATGGCTGCCGTGCGTGTGCTTCTAGCGGTGAAAACATACTGCACTTTTGAGAGAGAGAGAGAGAGAGAGAGAGAGAGAGAGAGAGAGAGAGAGAGAGAGGAAGAAGGAGGGGGTTGGCTGAGGGAAGGGGGCTGAGGGCACGGGAGCAAGAGTAAGAGGAAGAGGAGGAGGAAGGGATGTAGGAGAGCCGAAAAGCGTGGCAGGAACGAGGAACCACCGCGAGTAGCTCGCGCTAAACCACAGAGGAAACAAAAGGTGCCGCCGGCGAATTAAGAACGATATTTTAACGCTCGACTTAATTGCATTAAGCTGGGGAATCCGAGTGGGAGACCCGAGCAGACGGGGAAAAGACGGCGGGGAAACGTGGACGCGGATAGACGCGGGACTCGGGGATGAAAGAAGCCTGTCAAGAAAAAAAATAAGAAAACAGTCCGGCGAACAGGAGGCAGAGGGTGAAAGGTAGAAATGAAGGGAAGGAGGGGGTAGAAAAGCGAGAATGGAAGGGAAAGGGACGCGGGTCAACCTTCATGGTTGTTCTATTTCGCGATTGGATGTGCCACGGTAATACGTCGGATTTTCAAAGTGCTCCTTACCGCGGCGCCGTTGTACCCTTTGAGCCGAAACAAAGAGAGTGCTCGCTTTTTTCGCGAAGTGGCCGGGGTGAGAGGCGGAACGGAAGAAACGGATTATGTTTTAGACCGAGGAGAAGGCCGAGGGAGAAGAGGAATTGCGGGAGAGGAACGCAGAGCGGTCGGCTCTGCTTGCTGGCGGAGGGAGAGGAATCGCAGGGAAACAGGAAAAAGAGAGAAAGTTCTTCGGGACCACACGAGGCATTCGGGATAAAAGAGTTTTCTTGTAGTGTTTTTCCCCCGGTTTTCCCTTTTCTTTCGTTTTCTCTTCGTTTTTTTGTTTCTCTCCCTCTCCCCTCTGCTTCTTCTCCTGCTTCACCTTCTGCTTCTTCTTCTTCTTCTTCTTCTTCTTCTTCTCTTTCTTCTTCTGCTTCGGCGAATGCGTCGCGTGGCTGCAACGGCTTCGAGGCTCTCTGTTTAAACAGCGGTTCAATGAGACCCCCTCTTTGATTCGATGCTCTTAGAAATGCGAAATAATGCGAAAGGAGATTTTTCTTTTTCTTAAAAGTACGTGTATTCGCAGCCGCTGCCTGGGAAACCATGCTCGCACAGACACTCGATTCTTTGTCGATCATCGGTTCAACGCGCGAGGCGAACAGTCTTTGATACGTTGTGAAAACGTTAGAAGATGTTGAACAACGTTTCCGGAGGCGAGAAGGGCTTTCGATTTGGACACTCGTTGAACAACTGCTGGAGAAGGACTTAGGAATCTGTTGTGTCGAAGATTTCCAATCTGTCGGAAGAATCTTCGTATTCCTGATGAATCTATGAACTTGAAATGTTTTATGAAAATGTTGCTCGATTCGGTTCGATGACAGTGCAACCTAAAAGATTCCGTAAAACATGTGTCATAAATGGATGTTCTTTCAATTTTGCACTTTCCACATATTAACAAAAGGTACATTAAATGTATCAGTGCAAAAGTTCGTTAATATAACTTCGAATTTTACATTAATTAAAGGATTAAGTTGTTGACGAAAATGTACTGTAAAAATAACGACATTTCTTGTGATATATCTACGGCAATTATTATTCAATTATTATACTTTTAATATAAGCAAGTATAAAATGCATTGTCATATTGTCCACAAACTGGCCAAATTCCGATGAACGAATCAATCGTTCATAGAACATGCCAATGTTTTTGTCAACTGTCCTCCGTTTCGGACATTCAAAATTCAGCAGATGTACGAACACATTCACAACTGATTACAATATTAGCATTAACGTTCATTCTCCACGAGACAACAAAATAATAAGCTATTTACACTTCCTAGGTCGTGTTCTCTGTAAAAATACTCACGACTTTTATCTAGCAAACGGCAAGAAAGAATCAACTAGTTTTACTATCTCAATATATTCCTGCTTCCTTTGCCGATTAATCTCCAGTAAATACTGTTCTCCAGTAAATACTATTTTTTCAAAACCGTTCAGACGATGTTATGGAAGATTCTATTGTGATTGTCCAATGCCAACGCTCCCGTGAAATACTTTTGGCACATCTGGCACAAGAAGCGATGCTTATTGTCGTGGCACTTGAGATGCTTGTTCAGCAGGTCCTTCCTGGCGAACGTCTTCTCGCAGTAAGTGCAGGAAAACTTGTCCGGGTTCACGTGGAACGCGTTGTGTCTGGCCAGGTTATCCAGCCTGGTGTATTTCTTGGTGCAGATGTCGCAGGTGAACTTGGTTCTCTCCGAGTGACACCTTTGATGGTACCTGAGGTATCGTTTCTGTGCGAACGTCTTCTTACAGGCGCAGCAGACCACCTGGTTCGATTCGTCCTTCTTCACGTCCATGTGGTCGGCTAGCTGTTCACCGTTAACAAACTCCTGCTTGCAGAACTGGCAGGAGTACTTCTTCGGTTGCTTGTGCTTCTGGATGTTCTCCAGGAAGGTTGGGTCAGTCATGATCTTATACAGGAACGTGTCCTTGAGTTTCCCGCTGGATACCATACTTTCGTTTGTCGGGTCTTCTTCTTGGTGGTCCTTTTTGCAGAGGTTGACCGCTTCTATTGACACGTCGAGGTTCTGAATACTGCACTTGGTGTCTTCTTGTGTGAATTTGGAAAGGGGGATGCTGGAGGGTCCAGCTAGGGTACAGCATCTTGCTTCTTCCGATGGCAGGATCTGGAACATGACAGCAAATAAATTAGGATATCCGATGGGAAAACGTACAACATAATTGTTTCATAGTTAATCAGATTGAAAAGTATTTTTCAAGTACTTTTTGAAAAGTATTTTTTAAGTATTTTAATTAAATTGGACTTTTGACTGATTTTACTCAACTATTTAGTTCATCTTCTCTTGCATCATAAGAATTTTCTCATCGACTATTATCTACCGATTCAAAAATTTATTTGTAAATTTACTTGTTTGATATTAGCTTCAAGCCTTGGTAAATGATGATATAATAGAACAATAATATACGCTTTCGACAAGTAATACGATACTATTGAAAGTGCAAAGTGTATTTAAGCAATGGCGAATTCTTAAACTGAAGTGAATTATTTTTGTCTTAACAGATTGCACATTTTTAATCCCTGCCGGTTTTTAAATTCTCTTATAATTATAACATTTATTACGTTATTATTGTCGTCGCTGACAATTGTCTCATTCGGCTTCTCTTTAAGAGACGATTTTGCGCATTCGGCGCTCGATGGACCAGCTATCATCAAGCCTCCATTCAATAAATCTTTCTGCAACGAGTTTGTCTGAAAAATAACAAATGACCGTTCTAAAATATGTTCTATGAATAAACAACTTACATCGCAGTGAAAAGATTATTATTTAATGAACCAAACATAAAGATTGTATAAATTTCTTTAGGTCTTATTTGGCTTACAAATTTTAATTGCAAACCAAAATCATCCTCAATGGAAGTATCTTTATAATTTCAATAATCTTAAAATAATAATCGTCAAATCGTTCATTTGCCCGACAATGGTACAATTAATCTTAAAATTCATTGTTCCCAGAATAGTCCGTCCTTGGCATTGACTTCCCGTAAAATTGACTTTCCCTAGAACCGACTGTCGCTGAAATTGATTGCCTTTAAAATTGCCTATCCCCAAAGATCGATTGTCCTCAAAATTACTTCTGTGTGAAATTGATTTTTCCAAAACTGGCAGTGCCTAAAATTGATTGCATTCAGAATTGACTGTCCCTAAAATTGTATGCGTTCAAAATTGAGTGCCCCTAGAATTGATTGTCTTTCAAGTTGTCTGCCTCTATGAGTCACTGTGGACGTTCGATAAATTGAATCGAATGGCACTCCGTTCTGTTTGTTTACATTCCCGTCGCAATCTCGAGGAACCTGTCATCGCGTCGTCCACGAATTCGCGTGTGAATTGCTACATGAATGGCTCCACAAGGAACACACGAACACTCCGAACCTGTCAATCACCGTACCTTCCGTTTAATCATCATGTCCAATGCTTCCCTAGTATAATTCAATGCTTCCTTCCTCTCCTCTTCGCTTCTATGAAATTCCTTCGACTTTATATCTCTGTTCAAAGATCTTTCCGATTTTCCAACAATTACCAGCGACACAGGCTCGATGTTGTTGCTACCGTAGAGTATTCGATGTCGTGGCACTGTCTTCACTCTCATTTTATTTGTCACAACGATCTCCTAGCTGAAATAAGCATTCCAATAAAATAAAGCCGACAATATTAAAGCCAACAATACTTTGAAACATTTAAAGAATATTTAGTTACTGATATTTTAATCATTACGATCATTTAATACGATCTTTAAATAAAGCTGCCAGACTGCAATTATTACTATTTGTTTTATATAGTTTCCTTTTATTTTTGCGCATTAAATGTAATATAATTTAAAGTTACCCCGCAAAGTAGATTTCTATAACAATTTGGCTATATATATTTGTCAACGAGAACATGTATAAAATTTTAAGCAGAAATCGAAAGAGTAGGTAGTCCTGTTACACAAATATTGACGCAACGATGAAAAGCATTCATAACATAAACATATTGACACACGATATAAATACAACGCCTTAAAATACAAATCTAACAATATTTTCCTGATCGATTTCCAATTATTTTTAAAACAAGAACTAACTGAACGTCGTACACAGAACAGAAACACATTATGAATACACAAATGAATAATATTAACAAAAATTGTGCATTTCTTAGTCGATTCTCATGATCACACAAGCAAGTATACGAATGGTATTTACACGCACAAGCTTTCAACGTTACGAACTACAAATGAGTAATTCTAACTTTGCCATTCAATGAAAGCTCGACAAAGTTCCAGCAAGAATAGAACTATATACTGTTAATGAATTATCAACGTAAATACAGGATGCATCGTTGCAGCAGAAACTAGGAGTAAGATATACAGCTTCACTCACAAACAGTTAACTTTTACGAACTCTACAAATCAATAAAATAGAATTTCCATTCAATAAAAATTTCATGAAACTCCAACAAAAATATAACGGATCGTGGATTAATTATCAACACGACCACGATGGTGCATCGATGCAGCGAAAATGAGGTACAGAAGGAATGTGCTACTCACCGTGCACGGACAATCCACTCAAAATTGAAAATTTTCGAGCGTCAGGCACTGGTTGAATCAAGAATTTCGGTAGCCGACGTTATCAACGTTGTCCGGGCACACGACACACATTTCACGACGCGTCAACCGTAACTGAGAAGAAACACTGTTTAGTCGACCTCGGGCCGAGTTTGACGGTCGGCACAACAAAGGGCGGCTGGCGGAGTCGCCACACGGAAATCCAAGTTTGCAAACACGGGGCCGCGAGTTTAACGGAATCCGATGTGTCGCGCGTCGGGGACGCAGGCAATTCTGGGGGACATGAACCTCTTGAAATTCGTCTGTTGCCATCGGGTTATAAATTGGAATTCTTGCGAAACAGAATGCACCGGTATCTCCCGGCTGCATCGGTCTTTCCAACCCCTAGACGCTTAGCGGAGACAGCCTCCCACGTGCCACGTGATTCACCATCCGCAACATTCATTTTTACGATAGCAAATGGTGTTCGAAATTTATTGGAACAAATGGAACTTTATTAACCCGAGAAAGATAACCTACGTCGCAGAGGCGCCTGCGAAGACTGTTGATTTTTGTTAATTTTTCATAGAGGTCTAGTGATTTAAGTTTAAAATTACTTAAAATATAAAAAAATATAATATAAATGCATTTTATTTTTACAATAATGCCAAACCTTTAAAATGACTAGATTAACTTAAATAAATATCCATTGTTAGTATAAAATTGACGCCTTAGAAAAGCATGCGCCTCTGAAGCGTATGGTTATCTTTTACGTACATTGTCATATGGTTATCTTTCTAGGGTTAAT